CTGCACTCAAAAAGCAATAGGATGAAAACTGTACCTCTGCCATTAGCAACTAAATAGCACATGCCATAACCAAAATGGGACAGCACCCAAGGCACACTTGTCAATGCCAGCTTTGTTGTGGTGTGCATTTGAAACTCACAACTTCATGGTTGGATATAGAATTGTGCCATGTTTTTGTCAGTCTACTTAAGAATTTCAGCATAGACTGTATTCACAGTGTAAAAGTGTTGATCATGTGGTATAAGATTGCCTTGAAGGGGGGTTGCAAGCACTTGAACACGAAGTTGTTCAGGTGATCTACACCTTGACAGAGCAACATAAAGTTGACCATGTGTGAAAACAGGTTGGGGGAGGTAAATGCCAACACGGTCGAAAGTTTGGCCTTGGGCTTTAGAAATAGTTAAGCAATAACCCAGACGAACTGGGAATTGTCTTCGAGACATCTTGAAAGGGATTTCAACATCAGAAGGTGTAAGGGTAATACGTGGAATAAAAACTCGCGATCCCTTGAATTGTCCCGTGATAATTTCACAATCTAAAACGTTTTGAGATGCTTGCTTGAGAATGAGGCAAGTGCCATTGCATAAACCAATTTGTGGAGATATGTTCCTAAGAAGAATCAAAATCACATTTTGTTTTAGAATTAATTTGTGTGGTGGTAGTCCCGATGGGGTGATTGAATTTAAGAATTCAATTGGGAACTCTTCCGGGTGATTTGAGTCAACTGTGTCAATGCTCAAATAAACATATGGATCACCTGGTAGTCTTTCAACAATGTCATTATTTATTCTGAATGTGTCGTCATTGAGTGGGGTGAGAATAACCTTTGATGCAGCTGTATAAGTATTTGTAATATCATCGGTATTTGGGAAAACAAAGTTTACAACAGATGTAGTGATAGATAATGCATGTGGTATTTTGATAATATCTGGTGGGAGACATGGCAACTGTAAACTACTATCACCGTTGCCAAGTTTGAGAAGCCATTCAGAAAAACAAAGATTACTTGAACGCATATTCTTTGTTAATGTTAGTGTTGTAAAGAGTGACCATAGTCTATTCATTTTAACTGAGCTTGAAATAATAGAAGTTCTATGGCCATGGGGAACAACAGGAAGGGTTTGACGAAAGTCACCACTTGTAATCACTATAACGCCTCCAAATGGTTTAGAATTACATTTGAGATGTTTTAAACATTTATCAACCACAGAGAAAGCATGTGTATGAACCATACTAATTTCATCCCATATGAGAACATTTGCTTGTTTAATGGTTTTTCCAGCATCACTATTAATTGTTAAAGCAGAGACAGAAGTTTCATTTAAAGGAACAGGAAGTTTAAAAGTCATATGTGCCGTTTGACCATATTTTAGCAAAATGCTTGCAATCCCAGTCCATGCCATACTGATTACTTTTATTTTTTTTAATTGTAATGCTGTAATGATGGTATTAAGTAGAAAAGTTTTTCCAGTACCACCAGGTCCATCAATAAAGAAACATTGATGTTGGTTAGTATCAATGGCATTTATAATGAGTTCAAAAATATAACGTTGTTAATAACTGAATTGATTTATGTTTGCATTTATTTGGTCTTGTGATGGGTCAGGGATCTTTGTATTAAGCATGTGTTTGATAATGGGAGTAAGAGTTGGGAGTGGTAAACCAAAATCACAATTAGATTTATTGTGTAGTTGGAATTTTGAATTGATATCGACTAAAGCAATGTCAAAATAGTTTATGTCATTTCTAGCATAATCCTCAGACATATCAATTTTGAATTGATCCCATAATAGATTTGGATCTTTTGGTGAACAATACAAACAAATAAAAACAAATAACAGTCTTAATTGGGATGGCATTTTAAAAGTAGAAGCTTCTTGCATGCAGCGTTGCCATTCTGAATCATCTGCTAAAAGTCCCATTGCCATAGCTGCTTGTTTAAAAGAGGAGAAAGTAACACCTTCGACAGTACATATATCCTCAAATGATATAGCACCTTTTTTATAGAGTAATATAAGCCGTAAGTGGTATAACTCACTATTAGAAGGAGATATGGAATACATTCTTGGTATGAGTTTAGCTTTTCGCTGGCGTAATTGCCATCTATGAGAGGATTTGTTATATGTGTAATATAATGGAATTTGAGCATATGTATATTGCCTTGCATTAGTATCTTGCATGTTTAAATTGAACCATTGTGTAAGCATTGTTCCATTTTGAGTGGCTCTTTCTAGTGCTTCTTGTTCATGACCTGGTCTGAAATAAACGTTTTGAAAATTGGGTAAATGAACTGGAAGGCGTATAATAGTTAGTGATTTATCATGCATATGAAACTTAAATATACGCCACATGGCTTCAGGAGCAGAAATATATCGAGCATCGACAAAACTTGAGATTTCGTCCCAATTTAAAGTCCCTCGTTCTTCAGATGCAGTTAGGAATTCTAATGTTGCACAGTCATAACCTTTGTATACATATTGAAATAAATATTTAATACTTTTAATAGAAGCACAGATCTCTACATTGATGTGTGCTTGATATTTCTTACAAAGGTATTTATTATAAGGAACAACCCATCTGTTGTCAATAGTACAACCATTTTTTATGAAAGTGCACCCGTTATTGGGACGGTAGTAATCAGGATAACCATCAACACAATAAATGGTTTCAACATTAAATTCTTTTGGATAATTCTTAGAGCATTTGTTATTTTCCATGCAAGGGCTTCTAGGATTTAAATTACCACATGGACCATGTATCATATGATTTATAATTATGTTATGCAATTCTGGTTCTAACAGTGGGTGTGGCAACTGTGCAGTGACAAATTCATCAACTGAGTCTCGATTTCTTATCTTATCTTCGCTTGATAACATTGCTAAGAAATGACAATGAGGCAAACCTCTTTTCTGGAATTCAATAACATAAACATATGCGATGCACTTCCCAAAAATTCCTTTGATACTTATGTCATGTAGGAATTCTTTAAGCTTTAAGTTGAAAACTCTTGAAATAAGATCAGGTCGATCCTCAGGTGATTCATTCAACTGTAAGTTTTGCACAATTTCAGGCCACTTTGGGTTGCATGTAAATGTAATAAATAAGTCAGGTTTTCCAAAATGTGTGACAATAGCAATAGCATCTTGATAATGTTGTTGCATTGCTCGTGGGCTACCAGGAAATGTAGAAGGCAAAATTACAATTTTTCCAGGTTCAGCATTATTAGTAGCAGCTCTGTTGCTAACATAGTCCATAAGACCTGTGTAGTAATCCACTTTTAAGTGTTTTTGATGAGTGCGAAAGAAATTAAGGTTGTTAGATTCAACCTTTACATAAGCATCAACTATAAATTGTTGAGTGAGTTTCCCAGCATGTAGCAATTGATCATAAAGGAAAGAGTTGCCAATGCTATCTCGTTGAGATAATCGATATGCATAGTACTGGAGTAGCGTTACATGCAACTCATTGTGATAGATTTTTTCATGCCAACCTTTATCACCAAATGGTAAAAGTAAAGGATAAACCATAGGATCACAATTTTCATTACGAATAGAGATTTTTATTGGCTGTGAGTTATATGGATGTATGCATATTTCTCTGTCAAGAGATGGCTCACCCTCATCAATAGCGAAAACAATAGCAACATCATTAGTCTGTGGTAAATTATAACGATGTAGATTAGTACTTTCACTTCTAACAATCATGTAAACACCACGTTTTGGGGTTCCATTGCAAATTGAGCGATGTTGTTCTTGTGATTCAAGATTATACATCATTTGAAAAGCTTGTGCATACGGGTTTATTATTCTTAGCAAGTTATCTAATTGTAATAATAAATTAGAATCACAATTTGTGTTGAATGGGTTTTGCTTTCTAATATTTGTAGCCTCAGAAGTGTCAAGCATGTAAAGTTGTCCATATGATGGTGGCACGTTAGCTGCAGGATATGCTGAAGCAATTTTGTGATAAATTTGACCATGTATTCTAAAGCAATATGGGCCTTTACCACTTAAATTATCAATATTAGCACCCATTGATGCAAAAGCCAAAGCACTGTTGAAATTTCTTATGTTAATTTTAAAATTAGAGTTTCTATTTTCATTAAAAAGCATACGCAATATAGTAGGTAAAGATGAAAGCTGGGGAAGGGAAACCTTTCCATTCTGGCAGCACATTGATCTTGACTCATTTTCAAAATGTAATGCACCACAAAAGACACATATAGATGACATATTTCCAATATTAAACAGTTGTATTGTATGGTCATTATAATTCTTTTGATGTGCTAATTTATAGATAGTATAACTGTGATGATTACATGTATTTGTATTAGTTTCATTAGCATTTTCAAGGTTTATATTTGTATGACCTTCATTAGCATATGCTATGTTTGTATTAGCATTGTCGAGATTTGAAGTAATTTTTGCATTAGCATGTTCAAGGTCTAGATTAGTTTCTTCATTACCATATGCAAGGTTGTTGTGAATATGATTATATGTGCTAGTGTCAATAGTTGGAGGCAAATGGTGACATATGCCTCTTAATACTTCGCGAAGCCGAGGCATATTTGCTAGGGATGATAAATGAGATGAAATAACCTATCTAGTGTCAAAGCACTTATCTTAACATTTTCAGAGATTCTAAGTAAAAGCCAGAACTCGCCTTCTTCTTACACTGGAAAAAAAAATTTAAAAAAATAAAAACGAAGACTATACAATGAGAGCACAATCTGTACACACCTTAATCTGTAAACAAAAGAGACTAATCTAGCAACCAATAAAACCTAGACACAGGACTGGCACACCTTTTCCAGGGCGTGGTGAGCAACTGTGAGAGGTGGGTGGGGTTTGCAAGTTAGAGAACTCACCTTGGGCTTGTTCTCTCTCGCAAAAGGACAGCAACTGCAAACTCTCTGATGGTTCTGGCTGTGAAGGCTGGCTCTGGCTTCAGCTCTACCACTGGATAGCATCCACAAACCCAAATGAAGACATTTCAAATTTTCACAGCACACAAAAATCCAGATTGTTGGGGTTGGGGGCCAAATTAGCGGCTGCTGGGCTGACTGTGAACACAGACCTTTGCAGGAAGAAGCACAATTGCTGCGATTGCCACTGATCCGGCAAGCAAGCGTTCCAGCAAGCAAGCGTTAGCTCAATTGCGGCAGGGCATCCAGGGCGAGCTAAGAAGAACGGGCACGGGGGCAGGACACCACTGGCACACGTGTCGCTGTGCCTTCTTCTCCCGCCCCACGCGGCTTGGCCGCCTCCCATTGGTCCCTGAATTCCCTCGCTCTCGCCTTTCGAGCTTTGTCGCTAAAGATCCTCGCAATGGCCTCAGCAATCTCCTCCCGCTTCACAAACACGTCGGAGCTCCTCCCGTCCGAAACTTCCACCCCGATGCGGCACCTCTCCGCCATGATCTTGCGGTTGAGCCCCTCCTCGTATATCCGAGGCCAGCAGATGATCGGCACGCCGCTGGAGACGCTCTCCAGGACCGAGTTCCATCCGCAGTGGCTCACGAATCCAGCCACTGCCCTGTGCGCCAGAACTTCTCTCTGCGGCGCCCATGAAACCACCAGGTCTCGTCCCTTGGTCCGCTCGACGAAGTTCTTGTAGAAGTCACTGTTCTTCACCAGGACTGTCGTGTCGCCCTCGTCCACGAACTGGGGCGGCCTGACTGTGAGCAAGAACGGCACCTTGCTCGCCTCCAAACCGAGCGCGAGCTCCTCGAATTCCTCCTGCGAAAGCTTCGCTATGCTGCTGCCGAATGCGACATAGAGGACTGAGTCTGGCTCCTGGGTGTCGAGCCAGTCGAGGCATTCAGAAGAACGGGCACGGGGGCAGGACACCACTGGCACACGTGTCGCTGTGCCTTCTTCTCCCGCCCCATGCGGCTTGGCCGCCTCCCATTGGCCGGGAGCAAACATCAGAAAAATTTCTCGCGCAACCATGGCTACCGACCCTGGCCCGGGCCTGGGATCCAACGGCCGGCGAGCCTCCCCACTATCGCTTTATATGTATAGATATATATATATATTAATTGAGTTTGTATAGAAGTTTATGCAGAATAGAAATGCAGACTACAGTTGGGATATATATAAATTTCACAACTATGTAATGATCTGAAAGGAAAATACTAGACTTTTGCAAAGCACACTCAAGAACAACAAAATAACTCCAATGTTGTGTTTACCAATCTCTGGCAGCTCTCCAAGATTTACAATGTATAGTCTGGACTTTGGATGGGGGAAACCAGCCGCTGTTTGACACGCTACGAAGCTGTGGAACGGCTTCTACTTCTACGACCCGTCACCGAGAGGTGGGAAAGCCATTGAAGTCACGGTGTTCCTTCCTCCTGAAACAATGGCGAAGTTCAGTGAGAAAGTCAAAACGAATTAATCCTGTGTACCACCTTACGTGTTAATATCCAGAGTCTATCGTCTCGTCTGCTTGTGTGACATGACTTGACTCCAATCAATCCGTGCGTGCTGTTTAGAATATAATATCCCCGAGCCTCTAGGAGTCCCTGTGCTGCTTTGCTTGTCACTGCGAGTTCGGGCTTGGATCTTCGACGGGGTGAAGATGAAAATGGACAACTTTTAAGTGAAAATCACCGAGGTACATCTTCTCTCGCCTGCAAATCCCACTGAGAGGTGTCAGCTCCCCTTCACAACATTCGCTCTAATGTAAAAGAGGGACTCCATGCCATTCCTTCAAAGAGTAGCGTTCTATGAATCCACTGGTAAAGACGCAGATCTCCAACAGGGATCATACCGAACGCTGCCGCAAATGGGAGGATTTCCTCACACCAGAATGGCCGCCATTCAAGAACACGTCTGGATGGAAGCTCGACGAAATATTTCGACTTCTTGGTGATTGGGAGCGGTGTTGCTGGCCTTCGGTATACGCAACGTTGCCAGGTTGCGTCCGGTGGGGCGTCTTCTCCGACCTCATGAGCTCGGCTTGGCACAGGGCCTGGTAAGCCAGCATCTCCTGCTTCGCCTAGGCCTCGTTGATCCTACCATTACTCTCGCCCCTGTTACTTACCACGCACAGGCTCTCACGGGAATGCCCACACAACCGTGTCCGACCAGAGTAGCCATGGAGCCCTAGGAGTGCATGGCATCTTGTCACCACGCCCTCTTCCCTTCCCGGCCACGCGTGCATCCCGCCCATTGGCCGCCACAACATTGAGCCGATATTCCCGCTAACCATGGCCACCGGTCCTGGCCCGAGCCTGGGCTGGCCTCCCCTTGCCGAGAACCATGGCTTCCGAGGCTGCCCCGGGCCTGGGATCGGACGGCTGCGGGGGTGTGGGTTCTTCGTTCTTATTATTATAGATATTACTCAAAGCCAAGAAAAAAAAGGAGAAAGCTTCCATGTTTGCTTTTCTTTCTTTTCCTATTTTGTTTCAGTTTTTTTTTTTTTTCCAGCTTGAGTTGCTGCAGGAGCTGGTGTGCGAGTGATCAAATGCCAGGTTCGCTCGATTTTAAAAACTCCACTCTTCTGTTTTGATGCTTATCTCCAACTCTTGTCTCGAGTGACAAAACAGATGTTCTTGAGAGGCACCACCACGCAGATCATGAACGCTATCCAAAGCTTTACTTGTAGATAGTTTCATACCATTTGCTTGTCGATAGTTTCCAAGTTCCACGCAAAAGATCCAGGCAAGTTTTCATTTTTGTTCGTTTTGCTCTCTTTTTCTTCTTGAATGTTTTTTTCTTTTTTTAAACGTTTTTTCATCTTGAGTTGCTGCAGGAAGGAGCCCGTCTACGAGTGGCATCAAATGCGAGGTTCGGAAAGCCTTCTTCAAACTCTTCACTCTTATCTGATGAAGCCGGTTGGACACATGCAAAGGAAGCATGGCTTGGACACCCCCAAATCAAGCTATCGGTTTCAACTCCCTTTCCGGATGAGAGCATTTACTTGTTTTCCATGCGGCTGTACAACGGTATGCTCGAAAGCTGGTCGGGAATTCTGGGCAATGCCAACTTATTTTTGTTGGGCTTGTGTAAAGAGACCAGGAAAATTTGCGTATCGTATCTTATGAAGGACCAGCACTCTCCCGTCTGTAAACGTTGGAGATTTGGCAATCTTAGCTCACAAGTCAAAAGAAGTGAGGAAACGAAAATGCTAGACGTTATTTCGTGGACTTTCTGCCAAAAGAATCGACATCCAGGAACAACACAGGCTCTAATATTTCTTAATTGTGTTTTCGCAACACAACACCAGTAGCAAAGTTTTAAGCTTGGAAGATGAACTGGCGCCTCAAAGACTTCAATACGGACGCGTCGCCCGCCACCATTGCTCCGTCACAGTTCGACTGCTGTAAAAATTTTCTTTTTCAGCTGCAGTCACTGCAAAAGCCAACAATAATGCTGATTGTCACAATGTCAAAAAGTTGCAGTGTACGTAATGAAGCGGATAGCAAGACTTCCCATATCTCGCATATCTCTTCCATATATTTCATATCTTTTCATATCTCGAATGTTGAAAGTCACCATCAGCAACTTTGGCCAGTGTGCAGGCTAGAAGCCGAAGACATCCCACATGCTATTCAGATGCCCACCCAGCCCACAGCTGGACTTCCACACACACAACACAGCCAGCTAAGGCCAGGCTATACAGGCTTTAGAGGAACGACTTCACTTATCTGCAAAAGCAATTGCATGGCACCGGTCCCATGACTGCTGCCGTGATTATAAAAACATCTATCTATCTATCTCGCTTTGTGGTAGAAATTCCATTTCGAGCATTTTCGTTTTATCGTTCTTAAAGTTCAAAATGATCATTACGCTACGAAAGAACGGAACCTGAATGCGACGGAACAATAAATGAAGGGAAGTGGCGTCGGTCACTCTCCCTCCAAATCTTAGATTTGTTTTCCGGACGAGAGCTTTACTTCTTTTCCGTGCCGCTTGTACGAGCATGGTCGCGTCACTTCGAACTTGTTTTCGTTTGGCTTGTACAGGCGTGAGCGATCAATTCTTATATCTTATGGACAGGAAAGCTCTTCTTGTCTGAAATTGTTCAAGAATTGATTGAAGAATTGGTGATCCTAGCTCACAAGCGAGGAAACGGCTGTTATCTTGCAGAAATGAATCAAGACTCAAGAACACCACAGGTTCTAATATTTCTGAATTGTGTTTGCGCTCTTCTTTCACTCTTCCTCTCATAAAGTATGGGATTGACCAAAATACACGAATATTTTGAATATATTCAACGTAACCTTCAAATATTTTTTATCTGGAAAGAATACCTTGGCACTTGACGGAAACGAATATTTTGAATATAACCTTCAAGAATACCTTGGCACGTGATGGAACAATAAACTAAGTCCAGACTTGTGTTGGCACGAAAGGTCACAGCATCAAAGCTAAGCAGGAAAGTTTCAAGCATGAACCAGCAGATCAATGGCCTCGTCCTCCCTCCGAGAATCCACTACCGCCGCGTCGCCGCCAGCGCCGCCCCCGGCACCACCACCACCACCAAGTCCAGCAAGTTCGACTACGATCTCTATGTCAAGACCAAGCGCGAGGCCGTGTCCATCTCCCTCCACCGCGCTTTCCCCCCGCCGCTCAAGCAGCCCGAGACGCTCAAGATGCACGACGCAATGCGCTACGCGGTGGGCGGCGGGCGGCGGACGTGCCCCATCGCTTGCATCGCAGCGTGCGAGCTGGTGGGCGGCACCCAGGACGACGCCATGCCGGGAGCCTGCGCGCTTGAGATGATCAAGGCCAGCTTCTGCGTCCAGGACGATCTCCCGTCCATTGACGACTCGGAGCTCCGCCACGGCAAGCCCACCGTCCACCGCGCGTTTGGCATACCCACGGCGCTCTTCGCGGGAACCGCGCTGCTCGCGCTCGGCTTCGAGCACCTGGCGGCGCGCTACAGCGGCGATACGGCGGCGAGGATGGTGGCGGAGGTGGGCCGGGCTATCGGGTCAACGGGTCTGCTGGCCGGTCAAGCCGTGGACCTGGGCATCGAGAACCCGGACCGCGGGGTAGAGCTGGAGACGCTCGAGTTCGTCCACCTCCACAAGACGTCGGCGCTGCTCGAGGCGTCGTTGGTGGCCGGGGCCATTGCTGGTGGCGCGAGCGAGCAGGAGATTGAGGCGCTGAGAGCGTATGGACGGGTGACCGGGCTTCTCTACCAGATCGTGGATGATGTCGCGGACGCTACCAAGACAATGGAGGAGCTCGGGAAGATCCCGGGCCAGGACGCGATGGCGGGCAAGAGCACGTATTCCACCATCTTGGGAGTGGACAAGTCGAGGGAGATGGTTGGGCAGCTGTTGGTGGAGGCCAAGGAACGATTGGGTGTGTTCGAGGAGACCAAGGCACTGCCGCTGATCCACCTAGCCGATCACTTTGCTAATTGGGCTTGAGACTTTAGTTTGGTATAATGACTATTGTTGTTTCTTATTATTATTATTATTATGAGTTTAACACAACAATAATAGAATCAACTGGAAATAATTATTTGAAGCTCAGAAGTTGTGTGGCTTTTTTCTGGATAGTCTCCCAAGCCTTAATAACATGCTTAACCTCAGTTAAAGTACCTCCAACGGCCATTCGCAACAAAAAATCCCCCGAGAGCACCTGTTTTTCAGGTGTTTGGGTCATTACATGGTGGCATGATGCATTTAGAAACTTACTGTATGTGTGATGAATGTTGTTTCGTTTGAATTCACTGCGTGAAGTAAATTTTCATTGAGAGCATTTACGGAACTGGCCTCAATTGCTTTGAGCCTGAAGCAAACAAGTCCAAATCTGCAAGGCACTAAAACCTGCAATACAAACTTCTTTGCTATACTGAATTCAAATTTAAGAAGTTGAATTTCACGAACCTCGAAACGTTTGTCTTCAGTGACTTTTCTCTCGAAAAGCCTAGCTAGGCAAGTATGATGTATGATATAGTTTTTAAGTTTGGAGGAGCCATAAAGTCGCATGACAAGCCACAACTTCAGAGCTCTAGAAAGAAACAGACCATGATATGTGCCAACAATTAAAACATAAACAAAGCAACAACCTGAATCTTTTTCCGAGTGATACTTGCCAGTCCTTGAAATCCACGACTTCCCCCGCCTCAGATGCCTGTACTAAATAAACAAAATGATAATTAATTAATTACTCCACACCTTGTTACGAAGATATTCTGACTGGACCGAAAGCGTTGAAGTCAAGGTCCTTGCATTCTTTAATATAACACAAGTAAGAAGTGGGAATAACTTAGCAACAATACCTTAACCCATAATACAGAGCAATCTAGATTTGTCAAGAGCCATTTGTGAGTTCCAACATTGAGTGAATCAGCCTTCTCGATGCCATCCAAGAAATGCCTATACTCGGGGCATATGCACGCACTGCCTCCGTATGCGGCATCTACGTGAAACCACATTTCATATTCCTGGCAAATGGATCGATTATCAAAGCAAGCAACAAGCAAACAAAGTTGGAAATGCCAGATTACCTGAGCAATTTCACCAAGGTCTAGCAATGGATCTACAGCGGCGGAAGACGTGGTACCAAGCTGCAATAAGAGCGTTATGTAAGGATGCAGAAGACCCACGTATCACAGTACCGTGGCACCCAGATACAGTGGTATGACATCGTCCCCGCCTTCCTCAATAGCTCCACGCAAGAGAGCAGGCGAGAGCGCGTAGTTTGTTTCCTTGGTTGTGGGCAGCACCACCAGCTTGATGCCCGCAATCTTACAGGCCTTGTGCAAGCACATGTGAGTCTGATCCGACGTGTACGCTCGGAGTCTGCGCACCACGTCTTCCTCTACAAGCCCATTTGGCGTGTGCTTCGAAATGGCTCGACTCCGGGCGGCACACAGTGTGACGAGCATTCCCTCGGTCGCTGAGCCTTGGATGACGCCCCCGCCTTTGCCTAGAGAGTAAAACAAGCAATACGTAAGGCGAGACGTGGCAGTGTGTGATAGACCTGATGATCCCGAGAGGAAGGAGTCTGGCAGCTCGAGAAGCTTTCCCAACCAGTTTACGACAATAATCTCCAGCTCCGTGGCCGCGGGTGAGGCGATCCAGCTGAAGTTGACGGTATTGAAGCCGGAGATGAGGATCTCGGCTAGAATGCCGGCGGTGCTACTGTTTGCCGGATAGTAGCTGAAGAAGCTCGGGCTCTGCCAGTGCGTGAGGCCGGGAATGATGATGTTGCTCACATCTAAACAGCCACATTGCCAGATTTCATGAGAGATTCGATGATATAGACGGGAGTACCAACCAGCAAGAATGTCATCGAAGGACTCTGGATCTTGAGGTGCAAATGCGGGGATTAAATCATTCAAGTATCCTGGCTGCACACAGTAGTACAAGTGAGTAGTGACGAGGGAGGAGGAACAGGAGAGAAACGTGAAACATACACTAACTTGGCTTCTGACCGGAAACTTCTCAATGTGGCGATAGTAGTCGGCCACAAAATCCACCATTCGGTGGGCATGCTCCCGAAACTCCTCAGAGTCCATCAACTTGAGGCCGGGTGGTGGTGCCGATTCGCCCATCTCTGAGCTCTCGGGCTATGGCTCCTCAATCAATAATCTTCCTCCCACGTTTTCTATCTGGATCGTATGTTTAGTAAGAGAGTTTCTTTAATCTTTGGCAAGTTTCTTTTACTACCTAGGTATATTTCTAAATTCTATCAAGTCTTGGTGAGAGTGGCAATGGCTGTGGACAACCAGGAGCTTGAAGTGTTTTACGATGAAGGATGTGTGGTGTATGAAGCAGTGTGGGGTGAGCATATGCATTCGGGTTACTTCGATGCTGGCAACACTCGCGACTTTCGAGCGGCACAAATCCGAATGCTCGAGGAGCTCTTGGCCTGGGCAGGAGTACCGGGTAAGCATTTCAATCGCTCCGAGACACACCCTTTTACAATGTGTGCATCTAGACGACGAGCAAAGCCGGCCAAGGAACATTCTGGATGTGGGCTGTGGATTTGGAGGAACATCTCGGTATCTATCCAATAAGTACTCCGCGAATGTCACAGGAATAGCATTGAGTAAGTACGAGATTGGCAGAGCTAGAGCCATTGCAAAGGCAGAGGGTGTTTGTGACAAGGTATTGCTCTACCATCGCACAAATCAAAAGCATCTTCTTGGTTCATTCAGGTGGCATTTCAAGTGGCAGATGCTTTGAGTCTGCCCTTCGAAGACAACCAGTATGATCTGGTTTGGTGCATGGAGTGTGCCGATCATATTGCAGATAAACTCAAGGTAAAACACTCTCATAGAGTTTGAGCTTCATATGTTACTATTTCTTCGTCTGAGCAGCTAATGCAAGAGATGACGCGTGTGGCCAAGCCCGGAGGCTGGGTTGTGCTCACAGGATGGTGTCACCGAGAGTTTACCCATGGCGAAACTTCACTCAAGAAGCATGAGCTGGTCATAGATTTAATCAAGACTGAAAACGTGAGTTAAATTATATTTTAATATATGTGATTTGTGTTTGCAGAAGATCCTGGACAAAGTCCGTGCAGCATATCTTCTTCCACCTTGGTGCCAGACATCTGATTACAAAGTTATAGCAATCGACGCGGGTTTGCAAGTGTGTGCTGTAATCTCAATATAATATTTAGAGTTTACTGTGATTAATGTTGCCAGGGGGTAAAAGTGGAAGACTGGACACGGCACATGCTTCCGTTTTGGGGTCTGCTCACTGCAGAGATCTTTACCTTGAGAGGCGCATTCAAGATTTTGACATCAGGTAATACAAAACTTTCACAAGAGTCTTACCTCTCTAATGAGTAAACAGGATGGGCACATCTTCGTGCAAGTATATCCTTGGCATATCACTTCTCCTACATGGACAAAGGATTCAAGACTGGCGTTTTCAAGTATGCTGTGGTTATGGGAAAGAAAGATAAGAAGTAGTTCCAGTAGCAGGAGACTTGCCTCCTTTATTATCTGTTTTGATTCATAAAGGTCGAACAATTGACACAGCAAATCATCAATAATAATTCATTATTTCTTACACTGGATCGCCAGCGTCTTTGTTCTTGCAATGGCCAGCGAGATCGAAGAGATTTATGATGAGGGATGCGTGGTGTACGAGGCCGTGTGGGGCGAGCATATGCACTCGGGCTACTTTGAGGCGGGCAAGCCTGGGGACTTTCGAGTGGCACAAGTCCGAATGATCGAGGAGGTCCTCTCTTGGGCCGGAGTACCAAGTAAGCTTCCCTCTCTATTCTATTACAATCTCCTAGATGATGAGCAAAGCCGGCCTCGAGACATACTGGACGTGGGCTGCGGTTTTGGGGGAACTTCTCGATATCTGTCCAAGAAGTACTCGGCAAATGTGAAAGGAATAGCACTGAGCGATTACGAGATCGCCAGCTCCATTGCTCCTGTTTTTCTTTCTATATAAAAATATCTTTGTGAAGTCCAAATTTATGAAGGTATGCAGACCTCATTGTGTTTACAATCCACTTGTGCATGGGGCATGGAGCATGGGATCAGTTAACCAATTAGTTACTTAACGTTCATCGCCCACCTTCTCTCACTCTTGTGGTCTTATAAAATATATGACAATAATATTTGTAAGTATAGAATACCATATATTGAACAATGCTACTCTATCGCATTATATACAATTGTTGAAATTCATTTCTAAATCTTTTAGTCGGTATCCCAAAACCGTGTAAACAATGAATGAATATACTGGGTCTTGCAGCTTCCAGCTGGAGCTGGGTTGGTATTCGTAATTTGTATGAAAGGGAATGGGGCACCATACCTAATCTGCATTCAGTGTATATTAGATTTTAACTTTGAAAATGGTGCTAGATATCTTTATTTTTATTGAAGAAAGTCTTATATTTATTTATTCATATTCAAGTTGGTTCATGAGATGCTCGTGGGACACAAGTGTATATTGTCAATTGTCATTGGGGAAGGAGGGACAGAGTGCCTGGAGGAGCAGGCCCTGTCGCCCCTGGCTCCCATGAGGTCCGGGAGGTTGTGTGCGTTGAAAACGAGCAGGGTGCTTGGCAGTCGTAGACGACGTGTCTTTACGTCTGCTTTGCATCTCGCGGGGTGACTGGTGTATGTCGTCGTCCGAGCTCGACGAGCAACAAGTGACAAGCAATCTCGGACTTTTACATAGTGAATACCATCTAACAAGGAGAAACAGCGGCAAAACTAGGGGCGATGGTAAGATACTTCATGTTTGACCGAAAGGATTAAAATACATTGGAAACAGACTTATGCAGCGTACAATATCTTTTGAGAATCTCAACCCCACTGACGAGAATCGAGCAATGGTGGCTGAAAGTACTTCACGTGCTCTTGGGCCTCTTCAAGCTGCTCCGGTTGACAAGAATGGTGGCCTTGTGTGTGTTCTACTGGAGCTCTACGCTTGAATTATCTACATGACTTTGTTTTCGGTGCCCGTCAAGCGTGTGCGAGAACGACTGACGCTGTGGAAGTTAGTGTTTCTGACTTAAAAACATTTTGCCAAAGATTTCTTGACAGT